ATGGAAATCAGACCATGAAGGACCTCAGGTGCCTGTTAAGTAGTTTGAATGTTATATTCTGAGCTACTAAGTGACTTGGAAATAATGTTATAATCCCATGGTTTCTAATGCATCCTAAAAGTAACAATGACACCAACCTGATTGTCCTTCAGTGGATGAATGGTTAAAAAACACTGTGGAACATCCACACCACAGAAGGCTACTTAGCAATGAAAAGACATGAATTATTGATACACACAACAATTTGGACGGGTCTCAAAGGGGTTATGCTAAGTGGGGGAAAAAGCTAATTCCCAAATATTAAAAAACTGTATGATTCCATTTATATAAGGTTTTTGAAACAACAAAATTGTAGAGATGGATCACGAATTAGTGGTTGCCAAAGATTAGGGATTGGGGAGGAGTATGTGGCTGTGGCTATAAAAGGGTAGTTTGAGGGAGCCTTGTGATAATGGAACAATTCTGCTTCTTCATGGTGGTGATAGTTACACAACTTCCACAGGTGATGAAACTGTAGACATATAAACACACACACGAGTATATATGTAACTGGTATAAAATTAATAAATTCTGTGGACTGTACCAATGTCAATTTACTAGTTTTGGTGTTGTGCTGTAGTTATATAAGATATGACCACTAGAAAAAAAACTGAATTAAAGGTACAAGGAAATTCCAGCCGAAACCGGTTTGGCTCAGTGGATGGAGCGTCGGCCTGCGGACTGAGGGGTCCCAGGTTCGATTCCGGTCAAGGGCATGTACCTGGGTTGCGGGCACATCCCCAGTGGGAGATGTGCAGGAGGCAGCTGATCGATGTTTCTCTCATCATCGATGTTTCTAACTCTCTATCTCTCTCTGTTCCTCTCTGTGAAAAATCAATAAAATATATTTTAAAAAAATAAATAAAAAATAAAGGTACAAGGAAATTCCGTGTGTGTGTGTGTGTGTGTGTGTGTGTGAATTCCTATGAATCTATAATTATTTTAAAAACTTTTAAATGACAGAAGTGGTAATGTGATTGACCTAAAAAACTGGAAAAAGAAGTTTTTTAGTGGAATTCAGATTATTGCTCAGGCAATACTTCTGGTAAAGAATCCTCTTAAGAATTTTAACATGTCTTATGTAACTATACAACACAGACTATATTGACGTGAATATATGTGTTACAGAGAAAATTTTTCTCAATGAAATTGCATCCATCAATATTCAAATTGCTCTAGAGCTAAAGTAACAATGATATAATTGGAGGTAGCTCATCAGTACAAATGTGCTCAATTCTGAATGACAAAAGCACTGAGACGATGTAAAATCTAGTAGCTGAATCATTCTAAAGACTTAGAAAAATGATACCAACAACCAAACAAGCAAAAATAACCAAACCAATCTGGCTTAACTTCGGCTCTGAGTGATTTGGCTTTCTTAGGATGAAAGGCTCATTTGTGTATCTACATCTATCACATATGGTTGCAGATTGTACATCAAACTCTAGCATGGTCTAATGAAGTCTGTTAAAAACACACAAAATTAACATAAAGAAATACAAACGCATTAACAAAGCACAAGTGTAAACACTCTAAGAAATGTAATAAATAGTTCTGTTATTTACATATAGGACAGTCCCCAGGATAAACAGTATGTGGAATCTTGTTCTTTGGACTGACAGTATCATTGAGTAGCAAATTGTTCTCGTGGATTATTTTTCCATCCTTAGCCTTGAAACAATAGCTAATTTTATGCAAGATTCTTGCACAGTGGTAGTGTGGGTCTAATAGTGGATTTGAGCACTTTATTCTTACAGAATTCAGATGCTTCACACACGTGTATATTATTTCTAAAATCCAAGTTCATGAGTTCTTGATTAATGAATGGTAATCACAGACTATGATATGAGTTGGGCTTTAAAAATGCATAAAAAGCAATTATATGAGCAGAAGGCATTCTATTTATTTATCAGGGTTATAGATAAGTCCTCAATGGCCAGGCAGCACCTTACAGCATGATTGGTACCTAAAAGAAGTCCCTGGGGTGGCAAAACAGGTGGCAGATATGGACACAATTACCTGTGCCCCAAGATACAGTCATAGTCCTGAAACTAAAGCAGAGATGATAGCCTCAAAACGGATAAACTAAGTTGGCCCAGGCATGACTATCACCCTCCAAAACATATCCTTCATGGGAATGTCTTACAATAGATTATTGTTTGTTTGTTTGTTTGTTTGTTTTCCCAACCTGAGTGTAAGCCCCAAACCTTGCCTGGTTTCCATACTTTTGTGCACCCAGTTCAGTAAGGTTCCTGGTGCAGAATAGGTGCGCAATAAATATTTGTTGACTAAATGAATATCTCTTTACTCTATAACACTGCTTTTTGACAATTTTTGAGTGGCAGACACTTTTCAAATTCTTATGAAAGCTATGAACCCTCTCCTCAAAAAATATACAAAAAGATAATAATCTTTATCTTCTAGGGTTTGTGGATCCCTATTAAGCTATCCCTAATGAAATAATTTTCAAGGATAAGAATATTATTATTGTTATTTAATCTTCACCCCAGGGTATGTTGAGAGAGAGAGAGAGAGAGAGAGAGAGAGAGGCATTGATCAGTTTCCCTCGTATGTGTCCCAAAAGAGAATCGAACTTGCATCCTGGGTAAATGCCCTGATCAGGAATCAAACCTTAGACCTTTTGGTATATGGGATGACACTCCAACCAACTGAGTCACCCGGCCAGGACAAGGATAAAAGTATTATAATAAACACAATTAGACAGTGACTTTCCATTCTAGTTCCTTCAGACATTTCCCTGATCACTTACGTAAGCCAGTTCCCTCCCCAACTCTATGGCATTATATTTTATGTTTTGCTATTTGTTATCATCAATCAATAGTCTACACAGGGATATTATATTTTAGTGACATCATTTTCAAAGGAAAAAAGATAACTGGGCTAATAAAGCAATTCCTTTCATTGTTTTTAAAGTGTATAGTTAGCCTCTTTCTCCTCTCACCTCTGTCTCTCCAACACTAAGAAAATCTTAGTGTACATTTGGCATAATCTCATTATTTTTTCCCTAAGGTCACTCTGAGTAGAATTTGAAAAAGAGAGGGGTTAAGTCATACTCACACACAAAACCACCTGCCTGTCATAGATAGGAAGGTTCAGAATAAGAGGGGGAGTGGAGACCAGATATCTTATCCAGTCACCATAAACAATAAATAGCATATTACTAGTAAATTCAGAGTACACTGAAGACCACAGGTGGCTACCTTTTTGTCAGAAAATAGCAGGTTTTAGTTACCAGTAATGAAAGGTGCCCATGTGAATCTTACTTACACACCTTTTGGTACAGAGAGGCAATTATCATCCCATCTGAGCTGAGCAACTATTACCAGAAAACCCTTAATAGAAATCTCCTGTGTCTGAAAGCCATCATAAGACCAATCTCTTCCAATACAGTGATACCCAAGCAACTAGGAAATTCTGCCATCAGAAAGGAGGGGGGTTTGTTTCTTCTGGTTTACAAAAAGAAAGCTCGTAGTGCGGCTAACATGCTGGAGACCACAATTCAAATCACCTCTCTGATCTGTCTTAACCCTGAGTGTCCCGTGCCTAGGGGCCCTGCAGAGGATAGCAGCAAGCAGCCCATCTTCATCTCAGCTGCTGAATCGGATGCAGAGCAGCGCTGTGTCCACGGGGCAGGGGTTGGGTGTGTGCCACAGAAGCAGCAATAGAAAGTGCCAGTGCACTCAAGACTGCAGTCTCAGTTAGCAGACTGGCACTGTGGGGCCCCACTCTCCATCATGGAATATCAGGTAAGCAGAGATGCTCACACTGCTGACACATGCGGAGCGGCCTGGAGTCTGGCTGCTTGCATTATGTTGAGGTCCGGTTTTAGCCATGGTTTATAGTGCCCTGACCCCTACCCCCACTCACAGCTTGCTTCCTTCGTGCCTCAAAAATATGTCAAAACAACAGTGCCTGAAGTTTTTTACAATAAGAAGCTTTCCTGTAACTCTGCAAAGAAACTTTTTCAAGGACAAGTTTTATAGAAATTGGTTTAAATGCTTATTTCAAAAATCCCACCTGGGAAACAATCTTGGGCATGCACTATTTTAACTGTGTTACATCTGGACAGTTAAATGTATATCATTGACAAAATCATATCTGCATGTTAGGGTAACCAAAGCCTTTGGAACATGCTTCACTAGCTTTTCTCCTCAACGTTTGCAAACATTCTTTGATATTAGAAACACAGCAGTTTAAGAGCAATAAAGTCAGGAAAGTTCAGTGCAAAGTAGAGGCAGGAGACATATAACTGAATAATGCAATTTTCTACTTCTCAAATGTAAGTCATTCCCTATTTAAGAGAGCATCAACTATCACCATGAGGATTTTCAACTACGGAAAACTACAGAGGACGAGTGACCTTAAAAATTTATGAGGAAACTAGTAGTATTACAACAACTGACTTTTTCTCCATACTTCACAACAGCGTCTACATTTTACTTAAATTTAGACTTAAAAGTCAGTTTTCAATCTAATTTGCAACAAAACTTCCTCAAAAGCTTGCGTAGCGTTTGTTACCGTGATCTTTCAAGAGATAAATAAGAACGAGTACTAGATGGGAAACTATTTTTAATCGTATAATCACAGAAACTACAGTCTGTACCCTAAACTAGGACAACCACATGCTGCTGAAAAGCTACCTGATCTCAAAACCAGTTCCCAGCAGTTGTGTTACTCCCTGCAAACTAGACTGCATACAGCTCCCAGGGTGTACCTAACACTTCAGAATATACAAAACGGGCTGCATGTTTGAAAATCCTATGCACACACACCACAATGTGGGTTTCCTACCCTCCTAAGGAGCTATATCAGGGACACCTGAGAATTCTAAATTAATGGCCCACCAATAAGTAAGTCACTTTGCAAACCTGATGAACTGTGTCCACTGCGCCTGTACAGACCCCGGCAACCCCGGGGGGGAGGAAAGCTTACATCCATACCTATATTTCATGCCAGTCTGCTTGGCGGTGGACTCTTTGAGAGAAATGTGATGCTGAGGGGTGAAGGTCCCCAGGCTGCGCGCGATGATAGCGACCGTGCGGAACTTGGCCCGGGCTGCGTTCACATTGGGGGCGTTGGAGCTCTGCTTGCTCAGAAGTCGGTCCTCACCATTCCGGCTCTTCAGATTGTGCTCTGTGCAGGCTATGGAGACTTGCATCGCTTCCCCGGGCAGCGCACGGTCCCTCTCAGAACCCCTGAACCCAGGCAGTCACGAGAGGTTGAGGAGTTGGGAGGGTTGCTGCTCTTCTTTTAACCCCTCCTTGGCCCCCTTGCTGGGGATGCGATCAGGGGAGCGGCAGGAGAGGCTGCAGGGCACGACGGAGCCCGGACCCCACAGAAGTCGGCAGCCAGCCCCGAAGTTGTCACAGCTGGAGCGCGGATCGAGCTCTCCGATCCTCCCGGCTAGGAATCTCCGCTGCCGAAACAGCCAAATCCATGCAGCCGGGGGGCTTTCGCAGCCGCCTGGAGCTGAGTGTTCGTGCTGCCTGCGCGCAGCCCGGCCGGAAGCCCATCCGCCGTGTCCGAATGCGAGCTCGCCTCTGGGCGCTGGGTCAAATCCACGCAGGCATTCCGCAGCGCGCGCTGCCCGCACCCTCTGGACCACAGGCAGGATGCTCAAGCGGCGCGCTGAGCATCCCGAGCAGCGGCTAAGCCTAATCCGATCCCCCGGGACCGGTGGTCTCCATCCGCGCAGACTGCCTGCTCCTCCCTGCCCCGCTCCGGGCTGTCCTGGGGGCTCCTCAAGACCCCTCCCCACTCATGTTCAGGCCAAAGCTTGGGTGGCTGAGCCCACAGGAGCCCTGGCTTGCAGCTGTGCGGAGAAGCAGGCAGCTCCCTTAAAGAGCTCCTGCCTTTGTGTGCAAGGGAAGGCGAGGATCACTTTCACAGGCTCGTGCGGTAACAGAATCCCGAGGGCTGCTCCTAGAAGCGGGGGAAGGGGGACTCTGCCCAGATTCAACCCAAATCCTGCTGCAGCACAACAGTTAGAACTGGGGGGAGGCAGAGTGGGGGGCGGGGGCGGGTGCTGCCGCCAAGATCATGCCAGTGAATTAACACGGGAATACTCTGACCGGCCGGCAGGCTTGGGAAGACACAGCCGGAAATCCCTTTTAGCCTTGCCAGCATTCATTTCCCCTTTGCATTATTTCTTAAGCAGATAAGTTTGAAGTTTCCTGAAAAGCCACAGTGCAGACTTTTTGGAGTCAGGTCATGGAACTCGCTGCAAAATCTATTCCGGCTCCCAAGGGAGGGCCAAGGATGGGGGAGGAGGCAGCAAGCTAGCACCGCCCGGAGGGGCCTGCACTGGGCAAGCAGCAGGTCCCCATGACCACCCAGCAGGGTCCAGGCCTGGTGTCTGGAAGCATGGGCACTACCCCCTGGTCATCTATGGCCAGCTGGACAAGCACTGTCCCCAGATCAGGGCTGAGCAGCGAGATGGGAGGCGGAAGCATCGCCCGGGGCAGTGTCAGGTGCAGAGCAACTGCTCGATAAATGCGGTTGCATCAAACTGAGCACCAACGGGCCAATAACGACTTATCTCTCCATTCAAAGTGCTTGGAAGCCAGGCTCCTTGTGTAGATGTGCCGGGAGCCGGTCCATCCTTGCTGTTTCAAGGGACCTGGCATATATGGCAT